TTAGCAAGTTATCATGTAAATATGTCTTATCGTAATCCAACTTGCATTTAAAATACAGATTGTCTCGATGAATACAAAACGAAGTCGTTTACTGCACGAACATAAACAGCATCCAGCTGATATTAGAGATGAGCGGCTAGCACGGCCCAGCCGACACGAGCCTCCTTAGCTCAGTGGCAGAGCACTGGTCTCGTAAACCAGGGGTCGTGAGTTCAAACCTCACAGGAGGCAGAATATATTTTATTTGCCAATTTCTTGCTGGGCGAACGTAATTTGCCAGCAGATTTCGCACCACGGATAAATAAATTGTGTAGTCTTATGAAAAGTAAATATTTTCGGTTTTGATTTTGCCATTATTTATTTTTTTTTAATACACCGACTGTATGTATCGAATTTAAAGTAACATAGACAAATATTTATTCTATTTTTTTGTATCACAGTAGGCCTACTATGCATCTAACGAGGAAAATATATTATAATGAATTAGGATTTTATACTCTAATTTAGAAAAGAAATTACATTTAATCAGTCTAAGTTTGTAATCGAATAGTGACTGGATTTTTTAATGAATTGTGTAAAGTATTTAACAAATTGCATTAACACAATTGAATACATAACCCACGCTTAAACGTGCGAATACTGTACGCATACATTATGAATTTTGTGCTAATATTCAATCTAAAACACAATTTGAATAATTCTCTGGAAAAAAATACAAGTTTTATAAATCAATTTGGTTTATAAAACCAAACAAACTTCGAGCTCCAGTGTGGACGAGCCGGCGAACAAAACAAAACTCGAGCTAGGGAGGGGAGGAGGTCGGTCGACGGCTAGCTCCGCCATTTTGTTTGGAGAGAATGTTTGCTAGAGTTCGCTGTCAGAGCAATAAACTTCTCAATGTTTGCCGCCAGTCTGAGTCAGTTACTAGCCAGAGACGTTTGTGTCGTGAGTATTTAGTGTTTCCTAGTGAGTTTATTTACTTCTATCATTAAAGTATTATATTGTCTGTGCTTCTGTCATCTTAATTAACATGAGCAAAGAATTTTGGAATCGGGAAAACACTGTTAAGTTGATACAATTGTACGAATCTCACAAGTTGTTGTGGGACAACGGAAACAGTGATTACAGAGACAAGTGTAAACGAAAGGACGCTTATGCGGGTATTGCTGCTGAGTTGGGAGTGAACGTGGAGGATGTCAACAAGAAACTTGAAAGCCTAATGGTGCAATACAGAAGAGAGAGAAGATCAGGAACCGGGACGTCTGAACGAAAGGTGTGGTGGGGTCTTCCTTATTTTAAATTTCTAATCGACAAATATTCAAGATCATCTATGCCTAATATGAATATGACCCAACAAGCTATTGTGGAATTCGCAGAACCGTTGAGTGACAATGGATCTGGTTTCTCAAGTGACACCCCATCACCAATGGGTTCTACAAGTTCAATAAGCAGTAGGCCTAAACTTTTCACACCGAAACAAGACAGAAATTCCAAGCGTGGTGCCAAGAGGAGGCGAACGGATGACGCGTTTCATCTAGTGGAGACTTGCTACGACGACATCCAACAGGAGCAGAAACTGACAAAGGATGATCACTCAGTGTACGTAGAGTATGTTGCCAGTCGGATTCGAAAAATAAAAAATCCAATGATCCAGTGTATGGTGAAAAATAAAATCGACAACGTTATTTTTGAAGCAGAAATGGAAGATTTAAAAGAACAAGGAAACAAACTGTAAGCACATCGATGACATGCCATTGACATTTCACTGAAGAGGAAAAGAGCTAAATTTACAATATGTTGGTGGTATTTCTTCCGTTGTCCTAAAGTGATTCATCTCATTTGGAAAATGTTTAATTATTTGTTTGTAAGTGTTAGATGAAATATAGTTGTTCCCAAGGTAAGATGTATTTTTTTATTTAACCTAATCAGCATAGCCTAGCTCTGTTATGTCACATAACTAGGAAATGTCACATAAAGGATATGTGAGCACGAGACCTTGACCTAATTCAATTCTTACTACGAATACGATAGATAGAAATGTCATAATGACAACTAGGTATACGGTAGGTGGAACTTTTTTAGGTTTAGTGCAAACATGTTTAAATAATTGTAGCCTCTATTATGACGTCCGAAGCATCAAACTCTTAATAAAAAAAAGTAGAATTATAATCGTTATATTGAATAATGTTTAGCAAAAAACTTGATACAATACACATTTCTAAGATTACCTACCACTTTTTACTTAACTAGTTTGTTTATAACCTTGGCCAAACCGACAAGAGCAGCATTTTCTTGGGACAAATACTTTACCCCACTGGACCTAAGCATTACGTGACATGCTGGCGCTTATTCAAAAATATCAAATTACATACGAGTACTATACTACATGACCACCCCATCTATAACGGGAGTTACAACAGTCTCCCTTGAAGAACCAGTCGGATGTCGTAACACCCACATTTCGTAACGTCAGGGCCTCGCCCCGGCCAACCCTTACTGGGGAGGCATTGTTTGTAACAGCTGGGCACAGCTTTCGGCATCAGCTGTTATCCCCCCCCCCCCCCACATGGACAATAACAACAATACTCCAGACCGAGGAAGTCCAGACAAGAAGCTTTGTGCTCTCCCTAGGTTGTAAAAACCAGTATTTCAACGAGATGACGAAACGCGTAGTTTTACGTGCGTTGAGTAACCCTGTGAAGGAACCAGACACGGACTGATTGGTAATAGATGCTGCTGCACGAAAATGAGTCCATAGGATCATAGATGAAAATAATTAAATATAGACCGACAGCCGTGTTGTGATTAGCATAGGTTCCGGCGTCCACCGCTGGAAGCGCCGTGTGGTTACGTAGCACGTACGCATTACTACACGGCACTCCCAGCAGTGGACGCCAGTACCTATGCTAACTACAGCACAGCTGTCGGTCTATATTAAATTCTTTTTGTCTATAGTATTCATTTAGATGTTTTTTCGGAGCTCTGTTGCATGCAGATCCGTGTAAAGAAATGTGGATATTGAAATTAGTATTTTTTCTGTCGACTGAGTGTTATAATTAACTTTTTGATATATATATTCCATTTTGATTACCTTAAACAAGATAATAGGATTTTTACTTGTATGAACTGCCAAAGGTAAACGCACAGGGACAGGGATACAGCTGGAAGTAAACAAAAACTAAACAATTTTTAACTGAGTTGAGAAATGGTGGCATATAAGTTAGCATAAAATATCATTGATTCAATCATTTTCTTCACTAAAACAAACTGCGGCATACGAGAATAACTGGAAGTCAAACTGTACGAATTTTAACTAATCCATTTGTGTTGTAAAATGATAGTGTGTACAGATATTAATTACATTATATTAAGGATAAATAATACGCCAATACATTGCACTTTGCCAATTTTTCAACAAATCTCAGAAATAAAAACACTAAAACCCAGGTACTAAAACACTAACACTGTAGATATGTAAACTATGACATGCAAACATATTAAAATATAATCATAATCCATTCTACTGAGACCTATAGACCTACAGACCTGAGACCTATTAACCGTATTCAAACATATTAGGGAAAAACTAACAAATGAAAACAATTTTGCAAAAAACCGGGCTATGTAAAAAATCACTTTCATATCAATGAACCGGGCCGCGTAGTATTGACCAGGAGATCCCCTCATCTATTATCCTTCAGGGTTCAAGGGTCCGCTACAATACCACAATGGAGCCTAGGGCTTCGCCCCGCTATCTCCAGCTACTAGGGCAGATGTTGGAGGTGGCGGATCAGCGAATAACAGTCTATGATCCCAAGACACCTGGTGTGACGTCACCACCCTCGGTGACTGACACTATCTATTACGTACTATAAGGCACTCCCAGCGGTGGACGCCAGAACCTATGCTAACAGCACGATAAGATAAGATATTTATCTTCTTGAACGCGCGAAAACCACGGTCAATATTTCAACTGCCCAAAGAAATACTGAGTATTAAACGTAGGTAGTAAGTTTTCCCTTGGCGAAATTAGCTGCGATATTGGTACAGGTAACCCAAAACAGTTTGACGATTTAACAAATCAATTGGGTTTTACATAACTTCAATTATTGAAACATTGTAGAAACACTTTACTTTAAAAATTCAATCATTGCCACGGACACTTTGTACCATTCAAAACTACCTATATAGGTGGAGGAAGTACAAATTATAGACTGAAAAGGAAGAGGTGAACTGTCATGTTTTGAAAAGTTTAGTAAAGTAACACTACGTCCCACTCGCTTTTAAAGTTTATTAAATGAGCTAATGGAGTACTATGTATGTATAGCTTACCTTAAACTCACCTTCGTTTGCAGTTTCAGCACAAATTGTTCATTTTTTGACTTCACTGTTGTTTTTTCGAGAACTATAAACTATACAAACTTATGTAGCGTCTAGTTCAACAAAAAAATTCTACGTATTTCACATAGCAGAACGAGACAAAGTTCAGCTTGTAGACCTCAAACAAAGGTAACTTATTTTCTCACAGTATACTCAAAGCAAGTCGACATTGTGCAAATGAAGCAGAAGAGTCATATTGGAGACCAAACTAGTTTGGTATACAATAATGCCGATGGTTTAAAAATTAAAATTACCGATTTAATTTTACTGTAAACGCTAGTTAAATTAGTTTATGCACGTACAAAACATAACACAAGTATCATAAGACTTCTTAGTGAAAATAGTATTTCCAAGTTTCACGAAAGTGTTGACGATTCAACTACTGTACTTTATTTGAAGACTTATCCTCTCTTTCTGGATTTCAAACAAAATTCGCAGTCATAACGATCAACGACGAAGTTGTTGATTTTAACGAGGTCTTACGAGACGTTAAAAAGCTTCATTCGAACTTTAATTACAACGATTTACATAAGCTTGAATCCACTTTTGTCTACAACCACCTTTAATTAAAGAAACATGTTTAAATACAAAATTATAAACAATATTCGGTCGATCCCTACCTTTTCAATGTACCACTGCGACTATCCTCCACACGACCTGAAAAAAACACAATTGCATTTTTTCATAGAAAAAAGATCAATTTGTAGGTGCAGTTTTATGATGAGATGTTAAGGAAATTTAATGCGGACGTGTTGATAGGTGAAAGAGTTTTTGTTGCATCTGTAGGGTTGCTTAGGATACTTAAAACAGTTATACAGGGTGTTCATAAAGATGCGTCACAAATTTGAGGGGCTGATAGTGCTAATCAATCTAACCAAAAAAGTTCCATACAAACATAAGTTGAAAAAAATCGTTTAGCCGCTAGCCGCCATTTTGTATTTTTTTACAAACCCGTTTATGAAGTTCAACAACAGTTTATGAGTTTCAAGAATTATTCAAGCTACGGAAACCAAACTTTGCACATAAATTAACTGTGTCAAAAGGCAATTAAAAATATAATTATGTAATTTTCTTATAAAATAACAAAGTTACGTCCATTTAAAATCTTTTAACTTAAATTACTAAAATATGGCTAAAACATTTTAAAACTTTAATTTGGCATTTTCAATTTCCTATTAACCGATACAAGTTCAAAAAGATCGAATAAAAAAATAGCAGAAATATCATGTTTTTTAGTTGTAACATTAATTATAGTCAATGGTTGTCAGTAAAATGAGGGAAACCTGACTAGATTAGCCTTTTTCTAGCCCATTTTACAAAATCGTGATATTTCAGCTATTTTTTATTAGATTTTTTACAACTAATATAATTTAAATATATAATTACGCTAAGAATATTGGTGTTTATTTATTCTATGTTAATACCTTTTCTATAACAAAGAAAGAAACGTTCTCAATCTCAATAGCACATAACTGGTGTATTAGTTTGCCACTAGGCTGCAGCACATGTCAGAGGGACCTTTTAGTTCTACATCTCTCCACTATATGCCACTTGGCAGCACCTGTCAATCAACGTACGGCGTACGGCGATCGGCGAAATGCTGAAATAGTACTTTTGATAGTTAGTTGTGTAATAAAATAGCTAAAGCTTAATATGCTTTCTACAAAACTAAAAAAATATCCAACAAAAATTGTTTCTTGTCAAATCATAATAAATACTGCTGACATTTCTGAACGGCAGTGGCATCGGTGAAAATTACTTTAAGTATTATAGATTTTATAATTCCCTACACAAATAGGCCTACTATGGACAAATGATAAATGTGGGGATTAAAGAAATGCTCACATAACATTTACGACGTTTCATATGGTTATTTTTTATTATCTGAATAACAAATTAATAAACTCTTATGTTAAGAGTCTTCCTTGGTGGAAGCCATGTTGGATTTCTTCCCCATAAGAACAATGTTAAACATTACATCATTTGTGGACACGTAACGGCGTTATTTGTTAAGATATAGCTTTGAAATTTATAATTTGTATTTTTAACATAATAGACTCGTGACTGAGGTTTTTGAATTTCGAAAATCCATTTTCATTTCCTTTCAATAATTAGCTTAATTTTAAGCTAATTAATAATCAATTATTCATTATAAAAATTAAAAATTGTGAAATAAAAAACGTCAATCTCTAGAGGACCGCAATTCCTTAAATTTAACTCCTTATCCATAATTATATGACAATTTGCTGATGAGATATTTGGACCCAAAGTTAACATTGTTCTTATGGGGAAGAAATCCAACATGGCTTCCACTAAGGAAGACTCTTAACAAAAAATTTAAGGAAATTAAATTTTTCTCTAAAGTACAAAAAGGCATTGCCGAAACCCGGGATCGAACCAGGGACCTTTAGATCTTCAGTCTAACGCTCTCCCAACTGAGCTATTTCGGCTGATGAGAGAAGACCGGAAATTGTAGCTGGAGGGTATAGTATGATGTACTTATCCATTTGGAGAACATCACAATGTTGTCGTGGGGGTGTCTTGCTGCTTGCTCGGTTGTTGTGTTGCTTGGTCGCTTGGTCTATGGTTGTGGTTAATTGGGTTTAATCATTAAAACAAAATTATAAACAGACAATTTATAATGTAACAAAAACAAACATTTTATTAATTACAAGCCATAGGCATGTCATCGCTGAAATGACAACTGTTTAATGTAAAAGTATGCAATTAAACAAAAACTATAGTGGCTTTTAGCTCAAGTGTAAAACAAATTATTGTAAAATCAAATTATCTACGGGTCAAGTCAAGATAGATATCATCCCTGTGTACACCAAATATTTTGTGTAAATAACAGTCTCGGTGTTCGCTTTATTTATTTACATTATCCTAATAATATTATAAGCGAGAAAGTTTGGATGTATGTATGGATGGATGGATGGATGTTTGTGACAAGTAAATGTGAAAAATACTGGTTGGATTGGGCTGAAATTTGGTGTGATGATAGCTCAAATTCCCGATTACTTATAAGGGTTATAACATTCTTATCTCAAAACTGAATTTCCCTTGTTGACCTTATGAGTAGGCCTATTCATGTTTAAAAAGGAATAAAATAATTTTGTCAACTGTTTCAACTACACAAGTTCTATGAAATTAAATAGCAATAAAAAGTTTACCAACAGGGTGCAGTTAGTAAAAACTTATTATTATTATTTTTTCTATTTATGACAACATCTAATTTTAACCAACTAGCAACAAAAAGCTGTAAAAATGAGAATTTCACTGTTTTATTGTTTAAGGGCAGTGGTAGAAGATTATGGCATGGCTATGGTATATGTGCTATACCGTAAATTAAAAGAACCAAATTTCTTAAACCATGTTTTCTCCCATTACTCTCCTAAAGGCAACAACATATAATTGTTTGTGAATAAATACTGGTTTACTAAAGTAGCTTTGGCCTTGTGGTTTTAAAATTAAAATTAAAAATAGGTTTCTATGATTGGAATTTAGCATGAAAAGGCATATTTTTAAGGTGTGTAAGTTAGTTTATAAGTTAAAACTTATAGTAGTAAGTTTCTTTGTGACTTATAGTAGTAGTTATAAGTTTAGTTCTTGGTAAAAACCGCTAAATTAGCGCTCCAACCCAGCTATTATTTAATAATTTTATACTACTTTTTGGAAATGTTAACAAAATTAGTGAAAAGCAGGCATCCCTTTGACCAATCTTGGCCCTAGATTTGTTTTTGATCAAAATTAAAATAGAAACTACTACTAGTGTTGGTGGTTTTCCTCATAAAGATGTGATTGACTATAAGCTTACAAAATAGACCTATTTAAACATTCAGCGGGGTTTTAGTTTAGACCACACTGAAGTATTGGGTTCTTCTTCATCCAAATTTTAATTTTTAATTGTAAATCAAATATTTCATGCAATTGATACATTAGCATTTTGTTTGAAAACAGTTTAACGTTTTAATATTTATTTATAGTTAAAAAGCTAATCATCGGCTGACTCCTAACTCTTTTGCCACTGGATAGGGTTCCATTACCCAGTTATCGAAACCAATCAAGATATTACTTTTCATCAGCATTGTCATGCATATTTTTGGTTAGCTTTTGGAAACGTGAAGAAACAGAAGTTTTACATATAGGTAGATGCTCCCTTTACTATCTACACTATGCGTGCTAGGATATAATATTTGAACCTCTTTTCCTTGGATCAACAGGTAGTATCTGGTTAAAATCTCTTCAACTTCCAAACAATATTTTTTCCGTCTATTGGAATTTATTATACCATTGTAATTAACTTACTTAATGAAAAAATATGTTGCCTGTTGTACAGAACTATTTCATCTTTCTTCCCAGGTATTTCTTAAGAGTAGGCCTAGTCGTTGAGGTTATTCGATACAAAATATAGATTAACAATTTTTTTTTTACTTTACAATATTTAACACTACAATAAACATCAAATTAAATAATTTACAAACAAAGTTAATCATCAACATATGTTTTGAAATAAAAACAAAGCAGAAGTGTTCCATTATCTTTAATCGTTGATTATTTTGTCAATGTGGTTATTTTAAGTTAAACGTCCCTTCAACACAACAAATCATTTTACTTACTATCAAATTTTCTGTTCATCATCATCCTTATTTCATCAATGTACAGATTGACACATGAAATTGTGTCAACATAAGTTTTCTTATCTAAATTGCTAAAACTAGTGATTTTACCAGAGCCGGATTTAGCATTTTTGCGCCCCTAGGCCCAAACAATTTTCCGCCCCCTAGTCTGGTCACAGTTACTTTCCTTCAAAACTTTATTAAAAACTACCTATATCATGCCCATAGGCCTAAGTTAATTGCTGGAATACCACTCCTCGCCGGAATCATTGTAAGTTTTTTTTATTGACTTGTTTAGCCTTAACAAAATGCCGTCTTAAACACTGTTAGCAATTTTATGCTTTTAATAAATGCTCACGTTTGTGGCCGTGGGACTGAAACAAAACAACTCAAACCACCGAGAATTCCTGAAAAAAACATGGCCATTGATTCAAATTCCAGGCCCAAACCCTGAACTCCATACAGTACGTGATACCATGGATTAAACATACTCCTTTAGTAGATTTGTAATAATTTTGGAATAGCTGAAAACAATTCTTGTTATTTAAGGAGTATGTTTTATCTATGTTTAAACCTAGTTTATCAAAAATAAAACGATCTAATCATCAACACAGGGGTGCCCACAAGGGGGGGCTGTGACGCAGACTGCGTCATTGAAATTCTTGGGGGGGGCTCAAAAAATTTGAATGGAGGGGGGGTGGCTAAAGCTAATTGCAACAGTGTTCAACGTGACGACAATCCAAAATATATTACGAAGTCGCCAGATAGAAAGTAGATTAATTAATGACAATAGTTATATCATTGAATTAAATTAGTTAAAATAGGATTTTAAGATGGCTTAGGATTCGTGTAGAAAGTTATTATTTAAGATTAGCAAGACGTGAGATCTAAGAGGGAGCGCACGGGATGGCTCAACTGCTGTGATAAAGATAACGCGTGGTACAGACACGTCCAGCTACACCGCGACTTAGCACAGAACGCTTTGTTGGCATAAAGCTCGTTAAAATACAATCAAGTAGCATAGGCTACAATACTTTA